AACACAAGTAGCAGTATTTAGTATTTGTGACACAAATAGTTGAAGTACGTAAAAAAACCAAAATTATCTTTTGTATCTTTGCTATCAATGGACCCTCTTCGAAATACAGCTATGATAATCAGTATCAGAACAATTTTATAGAAGCAACAGTTTTACAGATAACTTACAGAAAGGGCTTTCAAAGACCAGAGACTTGTTTCAATCTCCTCTCTGGAAGCAGCATGTTATGCTAATACCTAATTTTATCTTTAGGTATGAATTCCCTTTAAAGTATTTTTTCATTATATTCAGAAGTTATTTTATGGAGAAAAATTATGTAATTCCTTGATTAAAATGTTTAGATGTCATCTATAGAAAATATTTCAGGCTGGGAAAGAATTAATTTTAAATATACAATTAAGTATAGGCTGAAGTACTTATGTACACCACAAACTGCTGCTGCTGCTCTGAAGAAAGAACATTTTTAAATCACTAGAATTAGGATGATCTCTCATCTCTCTGTCATTCACAAAGCAATATGAAGAATACAGTTTAAAAAACCCAAATCATTCCTTGTTGGGCAAGATGAGGCAGCCATTCCAAAATGACCAAAACCAGAAAAGGACAGAAATAGAGCTTTAAAAATACCAGGCTTAAATGCGCTTCTGGAAAAGCATCAGTGTGACTTGAAAATATAAATGGTCACATATAGTGTAGGTTTTCAGACATAATGTAAATACAGAGAATGTATATTATCAAGGTACTCTGTATTAGAATATTTAAGCTAATATCTTACCTTAGTGTTTGTAAAAATTTTCCCAAATGTCCTACAAAGTCTCCAGAAAAATCTAGAGAACTCATGGACACAGGCAGTTGATGCTACATTGATCTTGCCAACTATTTCTATAAGCTGTGGTAGCCTAAATATCAGGAAACAAAATGATATTAAACACTACTCTGATCTTTTGTTTCTCTCCAATTACATTTGTATAGATTTACTGTTTATATAAATAAATACACGCACACACAGAGCACTACTGGTTCTAATAAAATTAACTACTTGACCCATACAATTCCTGACCCATGAAGAAAGCAAGGGTTCAGGTGCCAGAAGTCTGATCTACATTTTCAAACATATGTTACTATCTATCATGAGACAGTCAGAATACAACAGTCTTCAGTTCAACAGAGAACTGACAATATCAGAAAAAAAAGTAAGAAAAAACCCAACCTTATCAGAGCAAGTCTGATAAGCAACACATTCTGTTAAATTGTTGATATTTTTTGAATAAAATCCAAGTCAGTTCAACATGAAAATTAAAATGCCTAAAATAAATCCAATGTTTTCCTCTTCAATAATTCTCAAAGACAATCACACTTAGTATTGTCTTATTTGGTAATTGTTAAACATGACCATGCTTAAGAACTACTAATTTTGACACATTTTAAAATTAGGAATGCTAAGATACAAATTAACTCACAGTTGATTGACTACCCATAGCAGAGACTCCCAGCCTGTGGTACCCTCATGTTCCAGCTGATAGTCATAGAGTTGCAACAACACTGCTAACTGTTCGCGGCTTCCGATGATGATGGCCACATCCTGAAGGGGCGATACGGGTCGGGGGAATCTAGTGACTGTAATAGCAGAGAACAAGCAGTCATGAACAAAAGAAGATGATAACACCATGGAGTGATGTTTGAAATGAGAGCCAAGAAAGTAGGAAAATCCTTAGGTCCCTTCTGCATAAGGTCATCAGTTTGCTTTTAAAAAATTCAGTGAGTTAAAATCATCTCTGAAGAGATTATATAACTCTCATTTAAGAAGAGAAAATGCTGATATAGGGAGATTATGCAATTATCATTGCCAGCATGGCTTCACCAAGGTCAAATCTCTCCTGACTAACCTAGTGGCCCTTCTGTGGTGGGGTGACTACATCTGTGAACAAGGGAGCCTGTAAAGCCTTGAACAGTGTCCTTTCTAAACTGGAGAAATATGAATTTGATGGATGGACTTTTCAGTGAATGAGGAACTGATTGGATGGTTAAATCCAGAGGGTAGTAAATATAATGGCCAGTCTTCGCGAATGAAGATCCGGGGAAGGTCTTTTACACCTTCCAGCCTGCGCATTGGATTTTTTAGGTGAGACACAGTGTGCGCGGAACTGAGCCCACCCTTTAATCCTGAGGTTCATCTGCCGGGGCCAAGCGAGCTTGGACAGTGGCAGCGAGGTCCTCAGGACGTAGATGGATTGCCTTACAGGGCTAACGAGCTCCATCTGCCTGGGGAGGGGCCCTGACCGGGAATCGAACCCGGGGTCTCGGCAGTGACAGCGCCGCATCCTTAACCACTAGACCACCAGGGGCTCCCCCAGAGGGTAGTGGTCAACTTCTCAATGCCCAGATAAACATCAGTGACAAGCAGTGTCCCTCAGGCATCCAAACTGGGACCAGTACTATTCAATGTCTACACCAATGACAAGGACAGTGGGATCAACTGCACCCTCAGTAAGTTTGCAGGTGACATTTAGCTGCCTGCTGCAGCTGACATACCTGAGGGATGGGATGCCATCCAGAGGGACCAGGACAAGCTTGAGAAGCGTGCCCATGGGAATCTCATGAGGCTCAACAAGGCCAAGTAAAAGGTGCTGCACCTGGGTGGGGCAACCCCTCGTACCAATACGGGCTGGGGGATATGAAGGGATTGAGAGCAGACTCTGGGGTACCAATGGGTGAAAAGAACTGGACAGGACCCAGTAATGTCTGCGTGCAGCCCAGAAAGCCAAATGTATCCTGGGCTGCATCAAAAGAATCATGGTCAACAGATTGCTCTCATGAGACCCCCACACATAGTACTGCATCCAGCTCTGGGATCCCCAGCACAGAAAAGGCGTGGAGCTGTTGCAGCAAGTCCAGAGAAGGGCCACGGAGATGTGAACAAAGACACAGAGCACTTCTCCTAAGAGGAAAGGTTGATAGTTGGGCTTGTTCAGCCTGAAGAAGAGAAGGTTTCAGGAAGACTATCGTGATCTTTCAATACTTAAAGAGGGTTTATAAAAAATATAGGGACAGACTTTTTCATAGGATCTTTCGTGATAGGACAAGAGGTAATGATTTTAAAAAGAAGACAGATTCAGACTAGATGTAAGGAAGAAATTCTTTACAGTGAGAGTGGTGAAACACTGAAACAGATTGTTCAGAGAGGTGATAGATGCCCCATTCCTGGGAACATTCAAGGTCATATTGCAGGGGGCTCTGAGCAACCTGATCTCATTGAAGTCCCTGTTTAGTGAAGGGAGATTAGAACCACACGACTTTTAAAAGTCCCTTCCAACCCAAAACATTCTATGATCCCAAAGAACACAGCAAGCTGACTGGCAGACAAGGTTTCTTGACTTCTATTGCTACATTTAAATCATCTAATGGCTCCTAACTTTATATATAAGTAGTTTATGATGCTCCCCACTCGCACCCACAACTCCTTAATTATTATTATTATCAGAAGAGAATAATTTACACTTAAAAAGCAAGACCACAAAAAAATTCTAGACCATTAAAATACATGGGGACTGAAAGCCTGCTACACCAACACATTGATTTTTTTTTTTAATTCATGCTTAAAATTATGCAGCAATGAATTTAACCAACAAGAACATCATCTTTCCAACTGCAAAACTCAAGAAAGCCAGCCAATAATTCCTGTAATGCTTCCAGATTAATGAAAAGTATGTGATATTTTTTCCATCACATTTGTGGAGGGAAAAATGTCAGACTAGGCTGAAATTGGAAATTTTTGAAATTTCCAATTTGTGGGTGGTACTACCAGTGACACCTTTAAAAAGTATTTGCAACAGAAGAAAACATTTTACAGGTTAAGATTGTTCATCCAGGTTCAACTTTACTGTGAGGCCATTGAGTAATAAAATGGTTTGGTTTGGATGGGACCCTAAATATGATCTAGTTCCAACCCCTCTACCATGGGCAGGGACACCTTCCCCTAGACAAGGATGCTCAAAGCTCCACCAACCTGGCCTTGAGCACTGACAGGCATGGTGCAGTCTTCTAAGATACTCCACACACGCAACACAGATGGTGACACTCCTGCACTACACTGTATTTTTCACACTTTATAAATTTGTAAGAATTAACTGAAACCGAGGCTAGCCTTCCTGAGCTATTATTGGTTATTAATGTAAATCAGTTATTGAAAAACCTTCAGGAAGTACAGTTAAAAATTGCTTTGCTTTCTCCAAGTTTCTTACAAGAAGTAGAGAAGAATACAGAGATGAAATAAAATTGTTTTTGGTGATAATCAGGTCTCAAGCATAGTGAGGGGTGGAAAAAAGAAGCATTACTTAAGGATTTGCTAAGGGAGACCAATATGAAAGAAATCCATATCAGAAAGTAATCATTTACCTTCTATTTGTGGTACTTCTCCCTGAAGTTTAGCCTTGCTTGTGAAAGGTGCATTCTGTAGCACCAATGCAAACAGCGAAGGAATCAGTGACTGCAGAGCAGACAGATACATGTGGAGCTTATGTTCATCCAAGCCATGTTCTCCTTCCTGAAACAAACAGGACAGTTACTCAGTTTTCAATTTGGATGATGTATTCACTGGCAAGAGATGAACACATCTGCAATGAGCTTCTACGCAGAGACACTAATTATTTAGCAATTTAGCCTAACCACAAACTTAACTTTGCCTCATCATCCAAATCCCCTTGTCACCCTTAAGTCACCTCTACTCAAAAGATTCAGGCAATACCTTTAGAGTTCATGCTGATGAAAAGAGTGATATTTTGAAAGAACATTTTTTAGCACATTTTGGAAATGTGGAACCTTTGTCTCAGAGGCCAAGGCACCTAAACTGACTAAACTAGTTGCCTGCACTCTGAAAGCAAGCATCTTGTTTCAGTCTGTTAGACAGTTATGAGGTACCCAATTTTTCTAGAACTTTTGAGATATCTACCAAATCAAGTGTGAAAACTGGATCATAACTGCAAATGATCTAAGTAAACAATTTAATTCTACTTTGCTTATGTAATAAAAACTGCACTTTATTAAAAGCTACAAAATTTAAATATTAGGCAAACGCTTTTAGGCTATAAAGCAGAACAGTATTAAAGAACAATACGTTTAGTTTTGGAGGGGTTGGTGTTTTTTCCATTTTTTTTTTTCCCCTTCTTCCAATGGACAAGTAAAAGTTATAGAGTTACAAGAATCTCTAGAAACTTTTTCACTCATAGAACATTAGCACCAACTATTTGCATTTTTGTACTTTTTTTTTAAAAAAAAGTTTGCATATTTAATAAGAATACATAGAAACTTCTCCAATGTAGAAACAGTTGAACACTTACCCTGAGCAATTTTTCAATTTTTTTAAGCAGTGTAGGTATAAGATGGAACTGTAGATTTCCCAGTTCTGTTGTCCAGGCAGCATAAGCAGGTAAAAATACCTGATGTGTCGCACTAACCACACGTTCTGAAGGGTCTCCTAGAGCTGAAAGCAGCAATTCAAAGCCCTGGCAAAAGACAATGAAGAATGTAATTATTTCCCTAAAATTTATGGACACATTTTACCACTCTGCCTTCAAAAGCTCAAAAGACAGAAGTATTTTATTTTCACTTCTCTGAAACATTATTAGGCAGCATTAAGTCAAACTACGGGTAGGCTTTGTTGCAGCAAGTGAATTTGTTAGCAAGTAATGATATCAAACTGGCTAATAGTATCAGGTGGGCAGTGAAATGGTATATTCTTAAAGGCAAATTATAAACTATTAGAGAAGCTTCTGTATAAGGCTTACACCTGAAGTTCTAATGCTACTTGTAGTTTTTCTGTTTGGTCTTGGTAAAACAGTAAAATCAACATTCACACATATTCATCATTTTTAGAAGTGCCTGGAAAGATTTAAGAAAAATACAGGAAATACGCATCCTGCTACTCATGAAATATCTATAGAAGAAATTTTATACATACAGAACCCAAACCAAATTATACCTGTTGGTATTTGTCTGGATCATCAATATAGCCCATAATGATGCCAAGGCTTTTGATCACAGCTTCTCGTACCAGATCTGCCTTATCTTCCATCAGCATTTGTTGCAGCATGGAAAGTACTAACGAACTACGAATTTCTTTCTGTTTATAAGAGAAAAACATATTTGTTAAATCCAATGAAACAATGTGGGTATCCATTTTTATAAATAATTTGCACTTCTGTTAGTGCTCACAAACAAAACCCCTTCCTCCAGCCATAGATCCCTTAATGAATATTACATGTTGAGTTTTCACAACAGGTGATGAATGAATATAAAATGTCAGTAGCGTCATTAGAGTGCCTTTTGTCTTACTAAGCACAGAACTCAAGTCCTTTAATTTGTATGGAAACAAAGATAACTAAAGCAATAAAACTACTACAGCCCTAGACTTTAAACAGAATCTGTGTAATCACTGAATTGCTAAATTGGAGAAGTGGTGTTTTAACTCAGTTCTGAAGTTTCAAATTCTAGTTTGCCACTGACTTAATTTTGCTTGTTCTTCTAACTGGCAGCACTCTTCTTTTAACATTCCACAGTGTCTGAAGAACTCTATTACTGGTTGTCAATTCTTTTTTCACAGATTCTTTCCTTAAGTGGTCCTAACTATCTTATCTTTACTTCATTTTTACTGAAAGAAGTCTTTTTTCAGAACATACTATTTTGAAACATTTTATACCTAGATTAAGAGGTATTTCTTCATAATAAGCTATCTCCTTCTTAGTGTGATTTACTGAATCTCTCATGTGTGACAAAGCAGAAGACAATGTGACTGTCTATGTACAATATACACACTTGGGAACATTTAAAATTATACAGGATGTGGAACAGATTTTCACCTTGCTTTCACTAGCAAGGTATTTGATG